ACAACAAAACGCGCAGCTTTGGAGGATTGGACGACATCTTCACCGCACCCAGTAAGCCAGTAAAGCAGTCGGGTGGCTCTTCTTTCAATTTCGACTCGATGTTTGTGGGTTCGAATTCGAAAACGTCATCGTTTGGTGGATATAATGATGACTACGATGTGTTTGCTGGAATGCCTGGCCTTAAGAGCTCTAGTTCTGGTAAGAGTAGTGCAAAAGATGATGACATTTTCGGGTCATTTGCTTCCGGTTCGAAGCAGAGTGCTCCGGTTGATGACTTGCTGGGTGATCTTAGCGGAGTGAGACAAAAATTGCAAGGATTGAACGTGAAGAACGATAGAAATGTTAATTCGGCCAGAAAGGTGGCCAAGAAGGGTGGCGATTTTGATGATTTGATTCCGGGGTTTGGTGGAAGCACCCCTTCCAATAATGGGTATGTTTGTTTTGATCAACCGAATTATGGGTTAATCAGTTAAATCATTTTTTTTATGTCGTCTTAGTTTAATGTCAATTGATGATCTTCTTTTTATGACTAGCTTAATCATTAAAAGATGGGATTTCATTAGATATTTCATAATTTCGGTGATCATTAGATTTTTCGTAATTTCGGTGATACATTGTGTTTTTTTTTTTTCCAGTTTAACATTCCATATATAATGCAGCACAGTTTAGTCTCATCGCTGTCTCAGCCTACTGCATTTACTGTTGTGAAATTACTCTTATACTTCTGTTGAATGAAAATGGAAATGTTACGTGTTCAAATGTGCATGTTACCTTGGTATATTCTCGGATGTGATTACTCCGACTTACTTGATCATAGCAAGTTGTATGACTTTTGTGTATGGATGCCATAATGTAGTTACTAATGTCCCTATAAGTAACCTGGGTAAGAAACGCAGATGTTCTCATTTTAATATCTTTATGTTCAGAACACCTGAAAATCGTCCTTGGCGATCAACCGTTCATTCAACTAAATCAAACTTCGGTTCATCTATGGACGACCCCTTTGTGATGTTAGAGTCAGTTTCTACTTCAGCTTCAACACCTGGATATGATTCCTCCGATATTTTTTCAGAACTGGAACAGATCAGTAAGCTCAGCAATTCGGGAGGAGCAAAACCCGGCGATTCATCAAATAGTTCCACAAAGTTGAAATCCCCTCCAAAGGGAGATAAAGGTTTTTCTCCTTCCTCAAGTTAAAAAGCAAAGTTGATGAATTTTATTTTTCCCTTCATTACACGCTTAATTGATTGCAGAAAGGAGCTCTGTTGTGTCTTCTATTGATGAACTTGAGGAATTTGCCAGAGCTACGGTGCGAAATAATGCAACTGGACGCACAAATGTACCTTCTCATGAAGAAAGGGTAGAGACCTCAGCCACCAGACGAGGCAGATCGAGTGAAGATGATCTAATGGGTTTCAGATCAAACAGTGTACCAAGGTCAAAACCTACAAATTTGGTGAGAAGCATAACTTTAGTAAGATGCTATTTCCAACACCAGTGACTTATGTTGTTACTTAACTCGTGCAATTTCCAGGACTCAGTATTTGATTCACAGACAAACAACAGAGGAAGACCTACGCCCCAAAGGTCATCTGGTACCTCAAGTAGCATGAAGAAGTCTTCATCAGCAACTGGTCTTTTTGATGGCCTTTTTTCGATGGATGGAGGTAATTAGTTGTTAAAGTTCTACTTCATTTGTAGAAAAGCCTCTTGTTTTGCCGATTTCTATGATGTTATTGTTTGCATCAGCTTCCACTGGGTTTGTAGAATTTGAGGAAGTTGAAGGCGAAAGTGAAGAAAGACGAAAAGCCAGATTGGCACGTCACCAGAGATCACAGCAACGTGCGGTCTGTGTTTCTCTCTCTTATCACTTCGCTGTTTTTCTTTTATTGCTCTTCTTTGTCTCTTTTTGTGTTTTGATGACTGCAAAAGGAAGGTCCATACAAATGAACTAGCTAAAGTGAGGAGCAGTAGAGAAGTTAATTGGAAAAGGACACAATAAACAAACATGAGTTGTACAAGGCCTTTTTTATTCTAAAACTTACTATACCTTCGGGATTTGTTTCGTTCTTTTGACCCCTTTCCATGTTAGTACCTGCACTGCGATAATGCGATGTTCACAATTGTTGCATAATGTTACTCAGTCATAAGCTAGTTGAAAGACAGTTATTAAAAATTATATGTTATTTATCCTCGTAAGGTTCAGCTACATCATCTTGATGCTAGATCTAAGATCTATAGAACATAGATAATGTTCATGATGGACTGGCCTGTGAATTTATTGTTGATTTAGGCTTAACTTTTTTTGTATCTGTACTCTGGCATAATTTGACTGTTTTCTTCCTCCTTAATTAGTTGCAAGCAGTGGCTGATATGAACCAACGTGATAGGAAGACTCAGCAGGAGCAAGAAGATAGGCGTGTAAGTACTATTTAATCCATTGCATTGGCACGTATTTCATGATTTTGTGCATGGGGATTCTTTACAAATTGGTTGGCTATCTATCTTCAATCTTAAAATATGCTGTAAATTATGTCTTTTGGGTCTAGGAGTGGCTTGTATTTCCTGCTTTTATATGGTTTTGTTTTTACATCACAGTTGTTATATTTATTGACCTAGTTGTATTCTTCATCTTGCTTTGCAGAGAATTGCCGAGAATCTGGATATTAAAATAAAGAGCTGGTCTTATGGGAAAGAAGGCAATATGCGTGCATTGCTGTCATCCTTGCAATCTGTATGTAATATTACATAGAAGTATGCTTTGAATATTTTGCATAAACTATGGTTTTTGAGTGCACAATAAATGATCGGCTGTCCTTTGTCTTCCCCTTTTCTTTGTTTTTTTAACATCTTACTATAAAAGTCTAAACGGGTTTTTAGTTATCTTTCACTTGAATTCTGAGCTTTATAAGATTTCAAAATTACGCGTTCACAACATCTGAAGGCGGTATGTTAGAGTTACGTGTACAATGACGTCTGAAAGAAAATTGAAACTTTCACTTGCTTTCTTGTACAATAATGTTTGACCTTTGATTCTGAGTTGTTTAGAATTTGGGCCTTATTTGCGTCATCACCCAAGATATCATAAAACCTTTTGAGTACCAACTAATTTGTTCTTTTCGGGAATGATGAACAGGTCCTTTGGGCAGAATCTGGATGGGAGCCCGTTTCATTAACAGATTTAATCACTTCTGGTTCAGTCAAAAGGGTTTATAGAAAGGCCACATTGTGCGTCCATCCTGATAAGGTTCAACAGAAGGGTGCTAGTCTTGAACAAAAATATACTGCAGAGAAGGTTTTCGATATCCTTAAGGTATCTCTATCAATGCATTAAATATTTAATACAAGCAAAGTATCTATCTTAAGACTTTATTAAGCGTTGGTTTCTTACTGGAACAGGAAGCTTGGAACAAGTTCAACAAGGAGGAACTCTCTTAATATTTTATACGACGATCATTCTTTAGAGCTTGATACGTTTAGCGTTCACAAAGGTTTCTCTTTGGGAGCGAAGAAGCATGTGCTGTGGAAATAGAAATTGCCGGTTTGCAGCTGCAAAGCAGGATGAGATGAATTTCGCTTCCGTTTTCTATTACAAATTTACAAGACTTCATTTTTATCTGTAAAATCCCTGGTGAGGACTACTTTTGTTTATGGTTTTGTATATTAACGCTGTCACGAAAATATTACGAATGGGATGTAATGAATCTCTGGCATCCCGATTGTTATGATATCGAGAACTCCAGTTCATCGTCCCGCACCTCTGCGTTGGTGTAGCTACAGTTGTCTTGTGCGAGCGAAACGAGTTGTTGACCAGAGAGATTCATGTTTACAATTTCTGTCAACAATTTCCATGTCCGACCGGATGTGGATTTTCCTTCGTTGTCATTACTGTTGCATTTAAAGTTTGCCGAACACTAGGCAAAATAAAAGTTTACCGTGGAGTATTTCGGATTGGAAGGTACATGTTGGATGCTTGTCTCGTATTTTTTTTTTTGGTTTTTTGTTTTTGTTGTCAAATGATATAATTTGTTAGATTAAATGTCAGATTAGCTATCAACGAGATTTGAACTCACGCTGTTATTTAAGGGCTTAACTTCTTTCCATCATTGTAGTAAATAGTCACTTGCCTTGGATTGGTTCAGAGGATAGGAGAGGACAAGGCCCGAGGAGAACGTTGTATTCGTATATCAGGACCCCATCCGGTCTCTGTTACATTAGTTTGAGCATAAATGTGGGACTGTTCATGAACAAGAGCATACTTTTTCCTTGAACGTCAGGCTCTTCAATTTTTACCATTTACAACTTGATTTTCTAAATAGGCCATGAGATTTTAATTTTTTCACAAAATTGCATCAATTCACACATTTTGTCTCTTTGAATGTCTACTTTTCCATCAAATTGATGAATATTTTAGTCATTTTGGTACGAATGTGTTTACATGTGAATCCAATTATGGGATCCATGCTCATCATGTTATTAATTTCATGAAGATTCAAATAATTCGTTAGACAAAATGCATACATTTATACAGTTTTAAAACCTTAGGCTGTAATTCGAAAAAGTTAAAATTTCATTGCCCAACTAAAAAATTACATTTTTTTTTTGAACAAAATAGGTAGGGTAATTATATTACAAATTAAGTTATTAGTTATGCATACAAAATTAAGTTCTTTTCTTTTTGGGTCCAAAAAGAACAAGTTTTATGGACATGACTCATGGACTCTCTATCTTGTATTAGTTATGGTTGGTTATTAATGATGAAGGTGGGATTCGAATTTGGTACATCTTTAACTTTATAATACAAAATACAACTAGATGTAGAGCTCATTCGTTGAGGCATACACTTTGATTTGTTGTTTGATCATTAAATTTCTAGTTCTACCTGATAAACCAAATCTAGCATTAATATATTTCACTACCTTGCGTAGCAACCAAGGTATAACCACATATTATACAAGGACGTACACACACGCATAGGACCTTATAACTCCATCATAAGGCAAACCAAACATAAACCCTTGAAATTTCGACCAAAAGAAAAAGCACAGACCCTAGTAAGAAGGGCAGAAGCTATGGAGATCAACATCATCGAAAAGGATGAGAGGAGAACTACATCGTTAACGTGGGTGACAAATTCACCATAACCACGACCCCAGCTGGCTGACTATGTTGATCATTGAATTCCACGTTATATATAAGGTGAGATCTATCAGCACTGATGCTTTTGACGAGAAACTGACGGGTTGAGGTGAGCTTTGCAAACTTGAAAGTTAAACTGAAATAATTACACGGTGACTCCACTATTCCACAATCGACTCTCTTCAGGCTGAAGATATGTAGTGGGTACTCGGAGGAGATCTGTCGAGTAGATCAGTGATAGTTGGTATGTGTTTTGGTGGTGTAGGCGCGTGGTGTGGTGGTGTTGCTGATTTCGGCGGAGGAGGCGGGGACTTGAACTTTGTGGTATAATTTTCAGTGAAACCTGTCTTCATCACACCGAACGAACTTCCAATGTTTGGTGTACCAAGTAAAGAAGATGCGGGATGCTCGGAAGAACTTTCGTCTGAACATGGCCAAATAAAAAATTGTTAAGAAAAAGATTTTATTCAATTCTTTCAATTAATTAATGTTGCTGAAGTTGGTAAATCTAGCCAAGAAATTATATAATATGCTGCATCCTGTCCAGAATAATAAGAAATATAATGAATAATATCTAAGCTTCTGACCGCAATTCCTTAAGGCCGTGCAACATGTTATATACAGTTGTGTCCTCTCTGCAGGACATCCGGCCTTTAATTTATGGACAAAATTTCATTAACGTGCTTCTAACATGCCAAGAACGTGTCGATGCATGTTCATTCCAGTAATCTCTCGACACATAATTGACATGTTATAGCGCCCGTAACCGAAATCCAACCAACCATGAATAAAAGATGGATTTCCAGCATACCAGGAACACAAGAACCGATTCAATATATGTTCAGTAAGCGCCTAATTAAAGAACTGGGGGTACTTTACTAAACTCAGTACATGAAATAATCGAATGGCGTCTCCAATTGGAAAATGCAAATTTGAGATGCAAAAATCATATTTGTATTATATTTTATGAATATTGTACTCTAATGGGAGATACATAAATTTGAGATCTCATTTAAAATGATCTTTGTGATGAGTTGGACCTATCCGCAAAAGATGTTAAAAAGAATGTAAATTTAGGTTTTTATTTACATTTTCCTGTGAAGATGAATAATATATTTTTCATCTAAAGAAAATATGTAAAATGCCTCTATTTCAAGGCATGGAGTTGGTACATGCTAATGACCTACCCAAACGTGAAAAAAATAATTAAGGGGGATAATTAATGCTGTTAATTACCTGCTAAATGTCTTGCTTCAACCAAGATATTAAAACCAGAATTAGTTCCTTGAAAGATGATAAGTGAAATCAGGATGGTGCTTATGATCATAGTAGTCTTCATCATTATTTGTGTCACTAATTCAGTGGTGTACAAATTTAGAATATCTGCAGTTCTTTCCGCCCTACATTTATAGGCAGTAGTTACCTCAATGGAGTGGTTGGGCAACATCATAGGATTCCACTCTAGATCTCATCTCACCTCATCAAATTTTCACATTAGTGATTCAATTAGGAGTCGGTAGACCTGGTTAATTAGTTTATTATGTAATTAATCGCACAATTTTTACGACCACAAACCATTATTTATACATTGTGCCCCAAGTGTCAAGTGAAATACATGAGATCAACAACAACAACAACAATAAATACTAATTACCTATGACAGCACAAACTTTTCTTATTTTTTAGAGTTACAGTTATGTCATGATCGTAACCAAAAACACATTATTAAGAAAGGTGGTAGGAAGCAGAATCTAAGGCCACCAAACATCACAAGGAATTGAATAATTAAAGAAAACTAAAAACCCCGACTCCAAGCAGAAAACAACCATAAAGCAAGAACCTACTCTCATCATCAACAATTTTGTAACTAATTGTTGGCCTTAAAAATTACAAAGCCCACATGGCGAGCAAGTCGAATAATTATGAGCTAACTACGTCCTTCTTGTGAATGCAGGCGTGCCAACTCGCGATCGAGCTCAGTCGGGCAAGTCGAATAGATGTGGTATTGGTGGTGTCGAATGTGCTATTGACTTATGCACCTAAGCAAGTATGACTGAGTAAGGAACACCTCTTGCCTAGCGCTCTAGAACCTGAGGACAAGGTTGCTTAATTCAATATGAAGTTTAGGATCTTCTTGTAGACATCAAAATTCCGGTGAAGTAAAAGTTCACCAACACATTAAAGTTTCGACATGCTAGGCTTTACGTGGCATGTGCCATGTGTCTCACAAATCGTACACATGGATATGACTCATCAAAATTGAATGAGTCATCAAGAAAGATACGTGTCAACACTTGGCAGAAAAAAATTATTTATTTCAATTTAATTGACTAGAATATTAATTGATGGAGTCAAATCATGAGCCAAGCCATAAATCGAGTCATGGTTCTTTCGTCAATTAATCAAGCCCACAATCAAGGTCAAATCCATCCATAGTCAAGGCTTGTAGAGTCTATAAATACAAGGCTCCAAGACACATAAAGGGTCCAGAAAACCATTCTCATACCAAGGCGTTGAAGCTCTCAAGCCTCAAAACTCCCAAAGTCCCAAACATTCAAACACTCGGAAGACTCAGAAAACTCTCTGCGTTCTTTGTCAAACCTTTGAGGAACCATCAAGCACTCTTATATGTGTCGGTTTTTTCATCGCTACAAGTCAAAACCTTGAGGGTTCGTCCATTCGAGATAAAGTCATCGCAACCCTCGAATCAACAACACACATTTTTCACCCTGGAGATCAAATTAGAGGATTCAAAGTTGTAAAGAGATTGTAACCCTAAATCTACATCACTACACATGTTATTTTGTACACGTGTTCTTGTCCTATTTGTCACATGAATTTTGCATTTACAAATTTAGCACGCCCAATGGGCAATCTTTGCCTTTCATATCCTTTCATATCTTTCTCCAAATTAGCACGCCCAATGGGCAATCTTTGCCTTTCATATCTTTCTCCATTCAAAATTCAAACACACATCCAAACCAATGGCTTCAAGAAAGGAACAAGCTGCTCTGACAATCAAGGGAAGGAACATTTGAACTTCTGCTGCAAGTGGAGAATATGTTGGCATCACGGCATGAAGCAAGGCAAAGATAGTGACCACACTTCAACATCCCTATTCTAAGTTAATGTCATTGATGAAGCAAGGAGAGCGTTGGGGTGCGAACCTATCATCAGCCAGTCCTCGCAAGGGGAAATGAAGCATGCTTTTGTAACACGCGAGAGAACTTCCTAAAGCAACGAGCATGCTTTTTCTATGTCAAAAAAGGGTCAAGTTTCACCTATCCAAGCAGGCAAGAACGTGTCGTCTTTCACCATAAGGTGCGACTTAGCTATCATCGTCTCGCGAAGCAAGATGAAGACATCATGTCTTTTAACTAGACACACCACTCTAACGTCGTTTCCACCAAAATCACATAAAGGTCGTCGTGAGAATCAACTAGTAATCAATTTTTTCACCCATAGAGAGTCAAAGGTTTCTACTCAACATGTTGTTGTCACAGAGCATTTATCTAAATCATGCCAAGTTCGTAAAAAAGCACAAGTTGGTCATCTCCATTATTTCAGTAGGGGCAAAAAAGTTCATCCCTCAAAATATTGAAAGGTGCTCGCCAAAATTGGAAAATTCAACGAAGCGGTCACTTTCGCATATATCCAGTGTCAACTTAAAGTGCACCCATGCCTAGTTTCAGTGGCAAGTGGCCAAAAGAATAAGGCTATAGTGCTGCACTCAGAGTTATCCAACTCATCTTGCTCCATGCAGGTGATGACAGTGGGAGTCACTTTTGCTAACGAATAATTGGCTCAAATGGCTCAAGCAATCGAGAAGCTGACAAAGACCATTGGGGAGAAAGACATGCAGATAGCGTTGCTCGTAAGTAAGTTAGAAGAAGGCATAACAGAGAGTTGAGCAAAGGGTTACCTCATCCAAAGAAAGAGGCGTGTCAAGAATTCACCTCCGATTAGAAGGAGTAATCAAAGATGGATTTCGCTTTAGTGGCGTATTTGTCAGTCCAACAACTCCAAGACATGATCGCCTCTATCAAAACACAATTTGATGGTTCTTCTCAAGATTCACTCACGTACTCCAAGCTATACACAAAGAAGTTTGATAATCTCCGAATGCCAACTAGGTACCAGCCTCCCAAGTTCTTGCAGTTCAATGGAATAGTGCTGGCGCCGATGTCGATTACCTCGTGAAGTAGTACTTCCACTTACTTCGAGGTGCTTCTTCACCAACACAAGCACTATAGCGTGCATTAAGCCTTGATTGCAAAGATCATCTCTCGGAGCTATCTTCCGTGAAGATTTGTATACAAGGAATGCATTGAGGTTAGCAGTACATCCTTCAAGGAATCAAACCTTGTACCTTTGAAAAACGTGCCACTCGAGCTCATGACATGGAGCTAAACATCGCAAGCCATGATAGAGAGAGACCTCATTACCATAGATGAACCCTAGATAGGTGTATTTATACTGTGAGAGCTAGACCTTTTTAGGATAGAATCCTCGTTCTAGGCCGAGAGAATCCTATAGGATATCTAGAAGTAGATATTGCACCTCTTAGAAGTTATGATTACTTGCTGCGCATGCCAATTCCTAGATTGTAGGAACTGCAAGACTTATAAGATCTTATTGAGTCCATATTTGGTTCAGATTGCATGTCTTGCAAAACAAGAATGGTCATCCAGTGGAGTTGACTCCGCCTATTGCCTCGAAATAGGGTGATGATAGCACCATTGCTTCATCTGATACAGCTCCATCAGGAGCTAGTGAGTCCATGACTGATAAGAGCATATTTATGCGACTTAATTAGCTTGTTTCCTTGCATTTACGTTGCTAGTACTTAGTAATTTTAGTATTTTAAACTATTTTTGTGCAATTTCAGGTTTTAAGGACAAAGTATGCAAACATGTGCATTTTGGAGCCTTTTGGAGCAGTTTTGGGCATGGAATGGATAGCTTATGCTTGGAGCAAGGTGGATGGACGAAATTGAAGATCAAATAAGGCTAGGAATGAATACTGAGATGAAAGAAATGAAGAAATGAAAATGAAGAACAAAGAGTTCAGAATTGGAAGCCAAAGTGCCTAAAGTTGGAAGTTTCTATTCTTGGAGATTTTCATTCTTGAAAGTTTCTATTCTTGGCTTGGAAGTTTCCTAATCCTTCCTCACCTATGTTCCAGCCATAAATGGATTCCAAAAATATGTTAGGTTGCCTAATTACATATTTCTAGAAGCCCTAAACCTTCCCTAAAGTCCATGCCACACCAAATCTGCAAGGATCCTTCCTTGCCGCAATTCCCTTTCCCTTTCTCTTCCAAAATCTGCACATATCCCTCTTTCTTACCTATTTTCTGACCCAAAATTGCATTACCCTTTTGTCCCAATCCTTGCCGCACAAGGGGAGAGGATTCTTACCTATTTTGTGCCTCAAAACACATTCCTAAATCTATCATACACTCTCTTCCGAATTTCCTTTCCTATTCTCTTTAATTCCTGCACCTTTCTTGCCTATTTTCCATTGATTTCTGATTCCAAATTTAATAAATTCGTAGCCCTTCCTTTCCCTATAAATAAGACCCATTTCTGACCATTCTAAGGACTCCACCCTTCACCATAACCAACCTATATCCATCCAGCACCACAAATCACCACAAAAACCTTCACCCATCCCTTGTGCCGCAGCAAAGAAGAAGGAAGGAGACCCTTGGACGTGCTTGCCATTCAAGACGTTGGATTGTTGGAGCGTTTCTAGGTGTTTTCATTCTTTGTTTTTAATGTCTAAATTTATGTATCTTTGTTTTGTGAACATGAGGAACTAAGCCCTTCTTGGCTAGAGGGCTATTCAAAACCATGACTATACTTGCATTATTAATTGATTACCTTCAGTTGTTATTTCATAAGTTGTGAATGCAATTTGCTTAACCGTTTGATTGATAACTTATTCTTGTATGTTTATTAAGAGTGCACACTTAGTTTTCATGCAAGGATTTGAAGCTAAAATATAAGGGAGTTTCACCTAATAGTTACAAACTTATATTTGCAAGTAGTGGAGGTCGCTTATAAACGATCGTGTTAAGTGAATTCTTGGCAAAAGTTTCATGCTTCTCATAGTTACAATTGCCTTGTCAATGCTTATAGTTTTCTTGAAACTTAATGATCTTTGATTGTACCTTTATTGTGCTTTTCACGTAGGGGACTTTTAGAGAATGCTTTGAATTGTTGTCTGTGCTTTCCCATCCAATTCATTAACTTAAGGAGAACTTGAAGGTTAAAAAAGTGCTGTCACAGTTAACCTGCAGTATTGAGTTTCATGACTTATTGAGAGAAGCAATTGGAAATCAATTTGAATGCAAGTGT